TCTTGAGATACTGATCCACTTAAACCTCAATAATCCTTGATCCATCCTTTCAATCAAGCTCAAACTCACAATATATATTGAACACATATATACCGACAAACTCTCAAAATTTCACTTATAGATCTACTACTAAACTTACGAAAATTCTCCAAAAATTATCATCTACTTTATTTTATAAATCTAGAGTCACCCAAAACAATTCTTAACTTTGCAAAGCTCTTACAAAGTCAATACACACTCAAATCACACCAAATAAATACTAAAAGAAAATCTATTAAATCTTATCCTCCAATCTCCAAAAGAATCCCAGAATCGTCATCAGAGCTTCATTTTGTGCCTTGGGTTTGATTTCAATCCTCGTTCATAACTGACCCTCTCTGAGTATCAATATCTAATTTTTCTAGATAATTTTTATTCAAAACTACTCTTAATTTCTTTCCAAAGATATCTTTATTTTTATTTTTTTTCTAATCTACCTTATTTTATTCTATTTGTGGTCCTACAAAGTGAGTAGAAGCCTATTTTGTAAATAGGCAGTATTACATGTTTAATTTTTCTATCCCTTGACTATTATCTATTTTTCCAAGATAATTTGTTATAGTATATTTGAAACAAGATCTTCAAAAATATGATATTTTCTTCATCCTTTCAGCTATTAGCCATTTTAGATCATGACAATGGATTGCCTAAAGATATTATATTGAATAAAGAGACTCAATTTATATCAAGATTTTGGAGAATCTTTTTTAAGATTTTAAAGATAGATATAAAGCTTTTTTTAACTTTTTATCTATAAATTGATAGGCAAATAGAATAAATGAATTAAATTTTGGAGCAATACTTGAGATATATCATCAATTATCATCAAAATGATTAGACAAATTTTTTATCATTGGCAAAGTTTATATATAATAATTTGATACATTTATCCACTCAACAAACATATTTTTTTACCAACTATAGTTATCATCTATGACTTGATACTTTTGACTTTTCAAAAGTTGATAATCTTGTGGCAGAAGATTTGTAAATTATTTTTTAGATCTATATATAATAATGAAGGTGCATTTAAAGAGAGCTCAAGAATAACAAAAAATTAATGCAGATACCTATTACAAGGAACAACGACAATTCAATTTAAGTGATAAGGTATGCTTATTTTGTAGCAATATCAAGACAACTTGTCCTTGTAACAAGTTGGACTATTGTAGGCTTGGACCTTTTGTATTAGCAAATAAGTCAATCTTGTTGCTTATTGATTATATATATTGGAGTCTATGAAGATCCACCTCATATTTCACATATCTCTTCTTGAGCCATATAAGATAATAAATATCACGGAAAGAAGACAAATGCCACCTCTTCCTATAGAAGTGGATAATAATCAAGAGTTCAAAATAGAAGAAGTCTTAGATTCAATGCCACGCCAAAATAGATTAGAATATTTTATTCATTGGTATGTATATGATATTAATGAATGCACATAGGAGCCAACAAAGAATTTTGCAAATGCAACAAAGAAAGTTGAAGCTTTTCATTGACAAAATCCATCAAAATCGAGATGAAAAATAGCAAATATTTGCTAGAAAAGAAATAAGATTAAAAGAAAATAACACTCTATCTTTTATTTGTCTTTGTAACTTTTGTGTATTTGTGATGCTGAGGACATGGAAAACCAACAACTACAAGATTCAACTCAAGAGCTTTCATTTGCAAACTTACCAAACAAGACATTGTAATTGTGAAAACCTTCAAGACAATGAAATTGAGATGAAGATCATTAAAAACAACATGTCTTTCCTCAAATAGATGGCAATATACAACATGTTTGGTATCGCAACTTTGGAAGAGATTCTCATTGTTTGATGATTTTATCAGAGGTAGGAAAAACTCTTTGCAATGTTCCAAATGTTTTATTTGAAGAAAGTTATAAAGGCCTCAACAACAATCAAATAACAAGGTAGTCTTCTCATCTTAGTATGGAACACTATTGATGGCTAAGAAGACCTATCAACCATCTTTGAAGAGAATAAAGATCAAAGTATGTAGCAAATACAATTTGTTGCATCTTAGATTTCCTCAATATATGAAGATCATTCTTCGTGGAGCCCGTCCTTAAAAGAAGAGATAATGTCAGGCATATATATAAGTATTCTAATAAACACCTATATGATTAGGTAGAAATATATAAAAGTAGATAAAAATATGTTAATTGCATAATACCTTCTTGACAAGCTTTCTAGAAGCTTCATAGACATTGCTTTGATTTTTCATGTATTTGTAGTTGATTAGTAGGTTAGAAACTTGGTCAACAAGTTAACCACGTCTTGGTAGCTTATGAAACAAGCTAACTATGTGGCACACATATAGAAAACTTGCCTTGCAAGTTAAAATATATTTCTTACAAAGTCAACACATTTTAGAGGTCCTATAGGACATCGCCATGTAGCTCCTAGTTAAGAGTATATATGGAGGCAAGAGTGAAGCCTTCTTCACTCTTGTCAATACCTTTTTAGTCCTTAGTCTTATTTCAAGACTTTCTAACTTTCTTGTTTTTTGCAATAGTTATTTTAGTTTAATATTATATCATCTTTGAGTGACTTTTCAATTCTCTTTAGTGACACAAGTATATATTGAAGATTTTCTTTCTTCAAGATTCATGTCTTTGACAATATTACATTTATAGATGATTTTTCAAGATATATTGTACTTCAATTTCTAAAAAGTAAAATAAATGTCTATATATGTTCCAAATCTTTTACACATGAATTGAAAACCAAAATAGCTACAAGCTTTGTATCCTCCTTTAAATTCAATCAATACTTGAAAATACACAAAATCCAACATCAACTTATTACATCTTATACACCATGCAATTCCATGTCGACACAACTATACCATGGCATTATCTAGTCTACACCAAACACACTCATACACACTGATTGATAAACAAATAGATAGATAGATATAGATCAAAACTTGAGCTAGGAGAAAAAAAAAAAAAAAAAAAAAAAAAAAAAACTTAGTCCTTAATCAACAAGGTTTGAATTTTTTGTTCCTCATTATTACAGTTGTTTCTCTACATTAATGGCTTTCTACAACAAGTAGCAAACACTCTCTTTCAATAGAGAGAGTTATTTCTTTTACTTTGTGGCTAATATTTTTAAGTGGATATGCACTTGCTTTGTGATATCTTATGTTGTCCACAACATAACAAAGGTGCTAATCCACATCACTTTCGAGAGTACAAATTCATCACCATGATTAATTAATGTATATATATATATATATATATATATATACTTATACATTTATATATACAAGTGATCAATTCTTTCACACTCGCTTTATACTGCTAAGTAGTTATCATTCAAGAGTTGGTTGAGGCTAGATTTAACTATTACATAAAGGTACATTATATAGAGGTTGTATATTTGTATAAACATTTTTGTGTACTTATCATATTTATTCATAACACTTGTCTGATATTCTATTAAGACATTTGTTTTGTTGTTAATGTTTTATAAGAATTTTCTTTTTTATCTTTCATTTTTCTTTTTTTTGTATTTTTAGATATCTTTTCTTTATTTTGATTAGTAGCTTTTATACAAAGCTATTTTACTATTTATGGTGTTTTTTTTATTGTTTTCCATTGTGATCACTCTTGGATGTTGTAAGTGTTATGGTTGTAATAGAGGCTTTCTTTTATGTAGAAAATGTGAAGAAAATATAGATGCAACAAGTTCTTGTTGATCAATACTTTACATTCAATTCTAATGATGGATTTGTAGTGTTCTACATGTATCCACCAACAATACACAAAAAATGATCATTAATGAAATAATGAAAAAAAAAAAAAAAAAAAAAAAAAACGTATTATTTTAATACTTAATAAGCTTTTAATACTTATATTATATATTATTCTATTGTATCATCCTAATTAGAAAATCATTTTTAGTATCTTAGTAATGTAAGATATTAACATACTTATGTTGGTTGAAAAATAGAAACTGAAATATATAGATAAAAAAGTTGAGTATTATTATTATCAACTTGTCTATGTTGAATGTAGAATTAGAAGATTTTTTCTGTTTTGTTTTGTTTCTATCTTAGTTGAGGATGGATGATTGTTTAAAAGCAAGGAAATTTGTAATTCTTTCCTTGTTTGCATTATTTTACACAATTAATTAATTTATTACTTTCAAGAATTCTAAAACAGTAAGTCCACAGACCGAAGTAGAAACAATTTATTTCAACCTGGGCCTAAATTTATTGTAGTTCACGGTTGTTAAAGTTGGATTTGAACTTGAAATCTAATTATGAAATTTTAATATTTAAAGTGAAGGAATCTCAATCAACGAAAATTTATTGTGTTCGAACAGCTTCCAAATATAATTATTATGGTAAAAAAATTGTGTTATTTGTGCTTTTATGACAGATTCCATTAATAAAATTAAGCATTAAAAGTACTTTTCCAAACTTTCCAACCATCGAATACTATATGATATAGTCCCATAAGTTCTGGTTTAATAATTATTAAAGAAAACTGTCGATTCTCCCAACCTTTAGTACCTCATCATAAAACAATAGTTATTTCAATATATAATAGCATTGCATTTAAAAGACCCCAATCGGCCACATGTTATACAAAACAAATATTTTCTATACACTACACCACAGATTTTATTTCTAAAACCACAACATCAAATTGGTCATCAATTATATCATTAAGAATAACAGCCGTAAATTCATCAATATTCATTTATCATTCATTCATAATCTGCTCTTAGAAGAGGTTTTTAATGGTGCCAAGCAATGCCACGCAGGAAATAAAAAATTCAACGAACTGTTGATAAGTCTTGTAACTGTGCGTGTACAAACACCCACACACACACATACATGTACATAAAAACAAAGCTAACCTTCGCTAATGACCTGCAAAGTGATCTAGATTCCCAATCGCATATTTCAAAAAATACTACAAAGACTTCACTTCAGCATTACAAAGCAGCAAAACAAATGGAACCACCTCTCAATTTCAAAAAGAGAGAAAAACGCTTTACAGTTTGTACACCAGGAGTGTACAAATATGGCAGACTAAAACACCAACTCCACGTTTGGGACCAAATGGGGTGAGTCGCCCCCCCACGCAGCCTTTCTCGTGAAAATTGACAGGAGCTATAGTTTTATAGCCTCTTATGGATGGCTCTACTACACCAATACTTCATTCAGGTGCTAAAAAAACACTAGTTTCTAGTACAAGGATGCGAGGTCGAACAGTTTAAGTGGCATGACACGCAAACATGCCGACATGAGAGAAGCAGGAAGAAGCCAATACTAGAAGATCTGATCGCATTTAACACTGCTACAAAAACCACCCTATTCCTCCCAATATCTAATGTACAAAACGAAACACCAGCTGGGTGCTTCCGTGGATTATCATGTGTAATCGTCATCGTGCATTAAAAGTTCATACCTGGTCCCATTCAAACGGGCTAGTACCTCATCCCAGTTTTGGATCTGCTCTCTCAATGGGCGTGTGTGAATCTTCACTTGCTGGCTTTCTAGCTTCCGCGGTGGCACCCCGAGAAATGTTTGGATCTCAGTCAAGCGCTGCACATTTGAACACGTTGTTTATAAGTTTATGAGGTTAACCCACTTGGTGTAGCGAATGCAGAGAGAAACCTTCACCAATTCTGGAGTTGGCTGAGAAGAGAGCACCCACCTGTGAGTCCATTACCAGGTCTTCGTAGTAGACAAGTCGGCTGCGAGTTTTGTTAAAGAGGCGTTGGGCGTCGCTGGCCATTTTCTCAACTCGCTGTAAATTCTCTGGCAAATGGTTCACGTCTATGACTGGCCTGTACTCTGCCAGTTTCAACGCCTGTAACAACCAACAGAAGCTGGCTTATTAGAAGTTAGCAATGAGAATACATCCACTTCCGCAACCGGATGCTACAAATGTGACTTTAAAAATGAGAGGAGGGGTATTCACCTCCTCAACTGAGTGAACATGCGACTTGTGAGTGCCATTCAGGATCTTCGCACGCTGATCATATGAGTTCGCCATGATTGAGATTAACCGCTTCAACACGTTCCGTCGAAGTAGCAGAATGACAGAAACACCCATCCTCTCAAAGTAGTCTAAAACCTCCCTATTGTATTCCATCGGACCCTGCAGCAAAACGAGCATCACACATCGACACAGAAATTTTAAAAAGGTGGAAAAGAAGCAAAGTAAAAAAGTTGCGCTCATTGCAACATTTGAATCAAAAACATGGAGTTGTTTCAATGAAATGTCTACCTGATTTAGCATCCACTTGAAACCCACAGCTGCGGTGCATTCATTCTTCGAAGCACTGTTCAGCCAGTCCAAGTTGAAGACCTTGTCCATGTTTCTAGCAATGGAGGAAAAATTATCTCTCCGTTCCCTGACTGAGAAAATTTCGCCATGGGAACTAATATTTGGGTGGTTGTTGAGAAGCGTCTCGAACCACCCACTACCTGACCTTTGCATTGATAATATTACAAAATAGTGTACAGGGGTGCATGTGCACTCATTCCTGAAGTGCAAAACAGAGTGAAATGTGAGGAAACTCCCAAAAAGCACGACCATGAAACCAAGTGGATGGATAATGGAATGCATTGACAAGGATTTGGTATTAAGTACTAGTTTTGAAGGCATACCTCTCGTATGTATGTGGAAGTGGATAGTGTTGGTAAAAATCCAGATGATCACGTCGAGGACAAGAATCATCTTCTCGTCTCACATCTTTCAGAACTAACTCCTCCACAGGCTCATACGAAAATTGCCTTCTGTCCAAGCCCACCATACACATGTATACACCAAAGCCTCCGACAACTACCAAGACAAGCAGCCTCCACACCGTTGATACCTTTCTCCATTCCTTCGCATTCCATATATCCTGCCCCACCACTCTCAAAAATCAACCCTCATTTCGGTAGTGACCGAAGATGAAATCGAATCAAGTATTTGTTTAAACTTGTGAAGTTAGATACAGTATTTTCTACCGCTTCTGCTGCCATGGTAAGAAGCATTATACCTTCATATTGGCAGCATAGAAGTCATATCTTCCTTCGAGTTTCGTGTCTACATGACTTCCCGCTGTCTGCGCATCGAACAAACCCTTTTTCCTCAGTTTTTTTCTAGGATGATTCTTTCAAGTTGCAGATCGGTTCCTCAGCTAGACCATTTCACAAATCGCATGAGTTTGTCCAAACCAACAATTAAAGCCCCGTCTTACAAATACAATATTTGAGGAGAATTCTCGACTGTGCTCACCTGGTGGTATCCATTGGTAGCAGGAGCTCCGCCGGGACGTAACGATGGCGAGAAATGCAGTGGAAGGCATGTCTTTTTGTCCACCATAAGACCGATTTTGTTACAACACTTACTTGAAATCACACGAACATCCGATTCACAGGGAATTGTATGCTAGACCACCAGCTCCTTCGTTCGCACGGTCGTAATAGCCTCTCATAAATTAAAGGCCTCATTCAGCTACGGGTGCCTATTAATTCGCCCACTGATTTGTCTCCACAGGTGTTCAAGCTTGAAATATATCGTGCTTCATGAGCCAAAAATCTGCATAACTCACAATAATGAAAAATTGACTTGCACGGATTCAAGGTTCTGTGAAGGGATGCACACAAAATCACTTCGTCTCGTGACACGCGGGCGCTGCCAATAACTACCAAAAACAGTCACAGAAGAACTTATTACGCAATCGATCAAGGAAAGAGTGCCAGCAAGGCAAACAGGACTTTATAGAATGGTTTCATGAAATATAGCTTGGAGCCTAGACTTTGAAGGAAAATAGCCGACGCAGAGCTGATTGAAGATTAGGGCGGCCATGTCCCTTACACTGACATCAAAATACAATCCGACATAACATATTCGCATGACCTAATCGCTTGACCTAAAGATCGAAATAATGAAAGACGACGGAACCAAGGTCCCAAGGAGGATAGCTATCAGCACAGCGGATTCATTTTCCTGTGATTGACAGCTGGAAATGTTTCCTACAGCTTAGGAAATGGAGCAAGATTTGAACAGACTATCTCGTGACACCATCCACCACACCGACGGACAAAAATGATGCTTAACGGCATTCCGAAGAGCGGCATGGCCAAGTGCATGTAATAATCTAGAAACATGTCGTGCAAGCGAGCTGCACAAACCTAATATCTCACATGAGATGGAGCAACAATTTCTCATCGGAACGGTGTTCGAGGTTGCTCGCGTTAGGAGTGATTTAGCTATCAATTCACACTGCCCAACAGCTCCATCGGGCGCACCCCAAGCTTGAGACTGACAACATGACTAGTCGGGGACGAAGTGCGGATCACAGACATCAGCGAGGGTAGGCGATCGAAACCAAAACTCTAGGAGGGTGCCAAGAAAACCAGTGCATTCCAAGAAAGTGACACCCCCAGTAGGCGCAAATGCACCGCAGCGGATTCAAGGGGAATCCGTTGCAATAGAAAAACAACTCCGCACCTTAATATTTCCAACACCACTTCACCATCTCTCTCCGCTGCAACCCCACACGCACACAAAAAAAAAAAAAAAAAAAAAAAAAAAAAGCAAACAAAAACAAAAACAAAACAAAATCAAAATCAAAATCAAAAAAATTAAAACTTCCTGTTTTGCCACTCCAACACACTATCCACAATCGAAACCCACGGAAAACCCAACCTTGAGACATGAAGCTGCAGGAAACGTACCGGGAACCTCCACCACAGCTCCCCCCGCAACTATCCCGTCACCAAACACCCGTCGCACCCACCTCCCAATTTCTCCCCACGCTTCAACTCCTCCTAGACCTCCAAGACAAGTGATTAACGGGCAGGCGAGAATCCGGCGAACGGAGTAATCATGACAAGGATCGCGTCACACAATTCAGAATAGAAATCTAGACATTGAGCACCAGTCCATCGGAAGGAGTGTATCGGCCACCCAGCCATGATTAGAAAGCCCGAAGAACGGCTGTGGAATCGCTGGCGAGAGCCGGGAGTAGTTAAGGGGCGTTGAAAAAGTTTGCCAACGTCGTCAAAAGGGGGCGAGGAGGACGAGACATGTAAAGTAGGGGGGAGGAGGGGGGAGACTAAGAACTAGGGAACTGGGTAACAAACGACGCAGTGAGGGCACGACGTCATGGGTCATGAACGAGAAGAGGCCACCATAGCCAGCGCAGCAGCATCAGGTGCGCCAAAGTTGTTGCTGCTCCCGAAGCACTGCGAGTGATCCCGGCGCTGGCGACTCGTGGATTGCTCTGCGTTGTTGTGCCCTCCCTCACTCACTCCAATGCACGTCGTATTGTGATGGATGAAGTTCCGTCGTGCATCGTCGACATTCATTCGCATTGATTCATTCATCCGTCGCTTCCACATGGACAGGAGGGGCCATTTTTATTTCCTTTTGTTTTATTGCTTGTTGATGTGGGTTTTCTTGAATATAACGTTTTAATGTAGTTTTGTGGTTCATGAGAGCGAGACATTTGTTGTTCTTGCTCAACTTGGAGGATTGCTTTTGAACTGATGCCTTGGCATTTATGCTGAAAAGTAATTTTTTTATTTTTTGTTGTTTAGGTTTGCAAAAATGTCAAAACATTGTGTTGACGAAGTTATAAATTATTGTAAGAGCATATCAACAGTTATGTGTTTGTTTTCAGTAGCTTATTGTAATATGACATATGTTTAATCACGAATTACATTGTCTAGATAATTATTATTGGAATATTCTGAAAACACTATCAATATTTTCAATCTAATTTTGACTTTGAATTATGGTTCTTATTATATTTATTACTTTAATATCAAATTTGATATATACTTATCCAATTGTATTTTATGGCTTTATCTTATCTTAGCCTTCAACTCTTTTGTCCTTGCAAGCCTTTGTCAAATTAACTGTTTGAATAATTATAACATGAAAGACAATGTTTATGCTATTGTTATTATTTGTCAATGCCAAATAAATAGTTTTTTAAAATCGTATTTGAAATTTCATACTTTTTTTTTTTTTTTTTTTTTTTTTTGCAGGGGTGTGCATGCAAGAGTGTGACCATGCAAAAAAAGAAGGGGGGGGGGGTTTCTTATTTTGTTACAAATTTAAATAAAATAATTTAAATAAAACAATCCATACTTCTTTAGATTCTTGCAAGATTGGTTGTAGATGTTGCATGTGCATGTGTATGTATATGGATAAATATATATATATATATATATATATATACACACTAAAAACATGTTAAATATGATTCATTTAAAAATATTTATGTCTTAAGCTGATAAGATAGATAATTTATTTGGTTTATGCCATTGAATAAACTCATAATTTAATACTCTTAAGTTCTCACAAACTGATTAATGAATTTATGAATTACTAAAAAAGGAAATTAATGAGTTGAAATAAGATACAATCAATGCATTGCAACCAACAAAATCTTTTTGTGATGAGAATATAATGATGATGATGATTTTAATTTAGTTTTTTTTTAGTTTTTTAATCTTTTATTTTCTTTTCTTTTCTTTTTACTGCTATGGAAGGAATTAATTATTCAATAGTAGTATTTCAGTTTAGTATATTCTAAAATATGGTTGAATCATGCACATTAAACTGTATTATTCTCAAAAACACATAATAATTTTTTTTTAATATTTTTTAAAAATCAATCCATTTCTATTTTGAAAATGACAAGAAAATTTGATAGTTTTAAAAAATTCTTAAACAATATGTATTAATGGGTTCGTTTTGACGTTTAAATGACAAGTCATGAAAATACTTAATCAATAAGAGGTACAAATTTAATTAGATGAGGTATTCAAAACTTAGTAGTAGAAAATAATTGACAAAGAAGCATGAGTAAATGTATATTTAATCAACACAATTTTAGAGTTCAAAGTGGAAAAAATGTTAATGTTTGGTACAATTTGTATGTAGAGAGAGGTAGTTGGTGTGGGATTCACACTTATCACATTCAAAGCTTCTTGGAACAAGGTCTATGCAAAAAAAAGCTACATATGCCTTGAGCCATCTTTCATAATTTTTTGTATAAATGGATTTTAAAAATATCCCTTTGTATGTGGTAGAGATTTTATACAAAAAAATAAATAAATAAATAAAAACAAAACAAAAACATACACACATGTTGAACACTCTATCATTAGCAAATCTTGTTAGAAATTGATACTAGTGCATTTAATTGGATTGCCACCTTCTAATGAGCATTTTATAATTTTTGGTAATGGGGTTTTAATTTTAATAACAGAAAAGTGTACACAAAGATAAAATCAAATTGTGTGTGTGTGTGTGTGTTTTTTTTTTTTTTTTTTTTTTTTTTTTAATCTTATTTTTGATATAATCATCAAAAACATCGTCAGCAAAAAGAACATCTCCCTTGAGCTACCAAGTTGTAATATTCATAACTCTCCAATTAAGAAAGAATTGCTCCACGTGGAAGGAATGTTTGATGATAGAGTGTAGCCACACAACTTGACAATGAAGAGCAAAGGAAATCAGAAAAGAGCAATGGATTGAGGCAATCGCACAAAGAGAAGCTCCGCAAGGAAACGGGACAACGAAGAGAAACGTCACAAAAAAGGAGCAAAACTGCACAAGAGAGGGGAACTCTTGTGGCAGCAAGAAGACGACGCGCCGGGCCCAAAAACACAAACGGAGTCGTGGGTCACTGGATCGCCAAACCCTAATTCCACGTCCAAGTCGCAGCCACCGTCTCGCAGGACTCTGTGATCTCGCGCCATGGCCAGTACATCTGCAGGCTCACCTTTCCATTTGCGTGCTGTGCCGCGCCAACGCTGCGAGTGGATTCACCACTCGCCGGACCCGCCATGTTGAACACTATCAGGCTGCTGGCCCTCCGCAGCCCCGCCATGGTCCTTCTCCGACGTCTCCCAGTGCCGGAGCTCGGGCTGGGTTCGAATAGCGCCGTGCAGCTGCAGCAGAGCCGGGGAGGGAGATGCTTTGCTGCTGTGCGGGCCGTCTGGCAGCAGGATGTGTTGTGGACTGAAGCTCCCGTGGCTGACGTTGGCATTGCCTGTGAGGAATATCATCACTTCGTGTTGGATATCAGTGGTTATCGGGAATTGATGGAGGAGCACACTAAAGCTGGTCAGTTTGTCCAGGTGAATTCCTAGTCAGCTGCGCTCATACTGCCTTCTTTGGTCTTGTCTGGGATGGGGCGTCGGTTTGTTAGCTGGAGCGGGTGGATTTCTTGAACATTAACGGTGGAACATGATGTGAGAGATTTTAGGGTGTAAGTGGGAGCTTCATGGATAGGAACAGGGTCGCTGGAAGTAGTTGGAGTGGTTTTCCTGTTTTCGTAATTCTGACAGAGCATAAGATCGGGGAGTCTACTGCATTAGTTCCAGTCTACTTAGGATTTTCTAGGTTTTTTTAATTGGACTTCTTGAATCGTAGATTTGCTTCCACTGAGGAGGGTCTTCTCGTGGTGTGGCAGCTTCGCGACAGGTCCTCGTGCAGTTTGAGCTTTAGTTATGGAAGCTTTGGGTGAGTCTTGAAACAACTGATTGGATTCTATCTTTTGAAAATCCGATTTCAAGAGGGAATACATGCGTGGAGAGGGTTATCAAAATAAAATAAAATGATAATGTGCGATATACATCGTATTCCTTATCGTCAGTGTGATTATCGGTGTGTCTTACAGGCTGTGCTCTAATCTCTACTGTTTCGTTTGCTGTGTTATGTACTTTCTTGCTTGCCCAGGTCAAAGTTGGCAATAGCAAGCCGGTATTTCTCGCTATAGCATCACCCCCCTAAGGTAGCCGCGTCTTGGTCAATTGAGTTTTTGATTGAGTCCGTGGAGGGCACTACAGCCGGTATGCTGTGTGGCTTAGAAAGAGGAGACAAGGTTGAGATTAGTCAGGTGATGGGTAATGGCTTTAGCAAGTTGATCAAGTTGCACCTGCCGAGAAATACCCCACGATACTGCTCTTCGCTACTGGTTCTGGAATTAGGTTGGTCTCTTGGAAATTCTCGCGGCTTCGTGAAACCCATTTGCATTGGTTTCGATTATGTTCCTTAGGCATGCTTTGACAGTCACGTATTTTGAAGCAGCGTAGATAACAAATCTAGCAGCAGGTCATTGTTACGTACTGTCCAATCCGCTCGCTATTAGAAGCAGGGTTTGACGCCCACAAACGAAAAGATGTGCGTCTATACTGTGGTGCCCGCAACCTAGATCGAATGTCATATCAGGTATTGTCTAGTGGCTTCCTATTGAACTATACGGATATGTCGCCTGGAGATTCTTTGGTTGTTGCGTGCCGGAACTGAGTAGAGCATAGTTCTATTTCCTGCTGTGTCCTGTATTTTTAATCTTATGTGGTGCTCTGCATCTAAAGGATAGGTTTAAGGACTGGTAGGCATCAGGAGTCCAGGTAGTACCTGTATTGTCTCAGCCCAATGGTACCTGGAATGGGGCTCAAGGTTATGTTCAGGTAATGTTTTGTTCTTTATAATTTCTCAAGAATGTGGGTTTGCATATGATCGAATTCACTCTGGGTTGTGACCGCACTGCAATTGTGGTAGATATTCACTAAAGTGTTTTCATACCTGCCACTTTATATCAATACCTTTCACCCATGGAACCGACTTAGCTTCTTGTACATGTTCACACGTGTATCTGTACTGAGTATTGCATTTGGTCGTGGTGTCATGTTATTTCAGGCAGCCTTTTCCGACTCAAGGGGGGTTTAGTTGGGTCTCAAACTGGTGCAGTGTTATGTGGACATAGGCAAATGGCACTGGTATTCATTCCTACACATCGTAAGACTGTGGTGCTTTCCTTTGAGCGTGTGGTAAAAAGCATGTGAAAGGTTGAAGAAGTGTCAACTTGATATTAAGACACGCTTACCGATCTACAATCTAGTTAGCATGTTTAATTACTTTTTGGATACGAGGCGTGGCATTTTTTTGCTGATCCGTAAAATGGTTTGTTCAGGATGTGACTGACATTCTTGTGTCTGATGGAGTACTCAAGGAAAAAATCCTTCTGAATTTTTTAGACCTTCTTGGCATGAGGTAAGGATATAAATCCATCTTTTGTGTTTTGTTTCACGTTGTTGTGATTCAACCCGTACGTCAATTTGGGTTCGATTAGTGTCCCATGTATTTTTGCTATGATACTTTTAGTAACCTCAAGCAAGCATAGCTTCACCACCTTGCGTTGCTCCCTCCATATTTCTAATCAATCTTGCTGTAGTAGTGCAGATGGCGAAGAATGTTGTTTTTTAAAGCATGTGAATTTCAGTCCTTATGTTAAATAATAATAGCAGAGCATCGTTCCAACACAAATACATGGCTGTGGCTAGATGTCGTCTGCATTGTATCTGTATCCCGATGATTACAATTTTAGTAATCCTAAACATGCACAGCTGGTCCATGCTACAATGCTCCCTTCCTGTAAAATAGGTCAGGTGAAGCGTTGTAGATGGCGACTGCTGTTAGTGAGCGCATGTGGATTCCAGGCATAGCCAGCTGAGGGAGCTGTACATGTTAATGATTTTAATCGCAATTGGAAGCATCGCCATGCTCTAATCTGTAGCTGAATTAATTTCAATAATAAAAAATAATAATTAGCGTCATTTTAATTATCTAAGTTAATCGAATGAGCTATTTTTTAATAATTAATTTGTTCGATTCTACTGTACTCGTGTATTGCTTGGTGTTTTACTCATGTCCCACCAGTTGCTCCAGTGTTCTCATCAATCTACTTGTGAGTTGTCAAGGTTGACAGAGCTGGAGATCAAATTTCGACTCTATCCTGAATGGCTTGATGCTGTTGTTCTTCTCAACCAATATTTAAGAAGTTTCAATTCATTTTTCACCTCTCAATGGATCATGTAAGGTTCGGTAACTAGATTATTGTTGTAGCGTTTTCTACTCACCTTGTATTGCCACATGAAGTTAAGTGAACTCAAATTATCAAGAAAGCCCAGTTGATAGTTTAGCCCTTCTTTTTCCCAGTTTTTAGAATCTTATCATATTGCTCTGCATTTCTCTAGCTGAATCTTTTCTTTGAGTTTTTGTAGAGAAGAAAATTGAGCAATCAAATCTAGCAGTTCAGGAATTAGGCGGCGTGTGGATATGTGGGTGTATTTGTAATGTCAAATTGATGGGAGTTGATTATGAGTGTGTACTTGCAACGATTGACACGCAAAGCTCAGACTTGCAGACATAAGTGATTTTAAACAGTCAAGTTGTTGCGTTGTTCTTTTGGCGCGTGATCTACTGGAGTATTGACTACATTAGTTGGGGGAGGCTAGGCACATGTCTTGTGTACCCCTTGGAACTCAAGGTTAGCTCACGCATACAGCAAGACATGTATTGAAAAAAAAGTTGTATTTTACATTAACGCATTATTCTTTCACATCAGAGTACTGCCACGTAATCCATGTTAATCCCTTATTCTGCTATCTGTGCGATGGGAGTGTCCTTTTCTTGATTATTCTGTGGTCAGCATATGTACACTTCTACTAAAACCATGAACTCCACATCGACAAACAGAGTTTTGCCTTTTTCTCTCGGATCCATCAGCCTGAAAACGTGGTGGAGGTTGCAGGTTCTAACTTTATTGTCGACGTTGTGAATCTTAAGATTCACGTCCCTTGTGTGCTTCAGGTTGGACAAGCTAAAACGTGTCATCAAAACTTCATGAACATATTCTGAATCTTATGATATGAGCGGCAGTGTCCCAAAATAAAAATTCCTCTGCTCAAATTGAGACAATACGTGGGAATCTTAGATCCAGAAAGTAAGTGCCGCACTGCAAAATCGAACTTTTTCAAATTAGTTTCGAGGAGCAGGAACAACCTAAGGGTTCGTACAAGTGTCCTGGTCTATTTGAAGAGATTTTGCCCACTTATATGACATCAAACAATTTGATTGGGAAAGCATAGCGTTGTGTAACTCAAGGGATTGAAACCTCTGCGTTGGAGTGACTGATTACTCTATCCTGCACATCAATGATTATCATCGAGGAGTAGACAATTCAATTTTACCTCTTCTCCTATACTCTGTCTACGTGACAATCTAGAGATCCAGTTGGTGAAGTACTACAGACAACCGTGTGCGTGTCCCTCCAGTTGTGCATCTTACGTCTCAGGCGGAAGGTGATCTGTTACACCGGATTATTCACCCTGTTAAACTACGCAGACGTGGACATGCTAGAGGCACTAGGCTCGGCACTCCACAAAGTGCTGGGAAACGAACCATTGGCTTCCTCTGTGCTTTTCCAGCTGAACCATCGTCCCAATGAGTCAGCGTTTGCCGTGCCGCAATGAGGCATTGTGCACGGAACATCTCAGCTTAAGTCCTCTGTTCATTGAACTGTCTGAACTCACACAGTTATCACAGCTTCCCTCTAGATCTGACCACGAGCCCCCATTCACCGAATCTTAGAGCCAACGTCACGCAACTAGCGTCCATGCTCACTGGCTGTTCGCACACAGATCTTCCCACACCACCACAATTCACTGGGTAGAAGTGATATGAAACAAAGAAGGATTACATGCTGGAGTTGCAATTGCTCTGCATCTTGCTGATGATCGATGAAACGTTCGTCGACTGCAAGCAGCTCATGCTACTAGTCAGCAACTGGGTCCAGGTGATGGGCAAAGTCCAAGTTTGCTCAGATGGGTATTACATCTTTTGAAGGAAATTAGCATGATATTGTTGTTACATACGCCAGAGAAACGAGACTTGGGTACAGAAGTAAACAAATTTGTAGCTTTCGTTGGCAACTTCTAGTGAGATCGATGGGCAATTGAGAGCAATATGTTCTCACCATGATGAATCCAACTGATGCAACAATCCAGCTGTGTTTTCTAGTTTCATGCATTCTTTTGCTTCTTCTCTCAGTCTGATGTGCGTGTAAGGAGCTATCTAACCTCACATATCCATAATACTTTGCAAAGGTTTTATATGCCAATATTTTTTAGTATGTGTATTTATAGAATTTCAAATAGTTATTTGAATCTTTCAATAAAGTAAAATTTAAAAATAATATCATAATAATTCAACATTGTGTTTACAGTTACCGGCTGGTTATTTGTAGATATTAATTTTGTCGTATGACAACCTTTGTTAATGCTATTACTTAAGTATGTTATTCTTAATTCTAGTTCTGCTAATCATATTTAAAAATAGAATCCAATCAATATACGAATTCATTTTTAATAAATTTTGTGAACAAGTCCTATGAATGTGCTTAATTTTTTTTAAATACAGTATTTTTAAAAAATTTACTTCATGCCTTATTTTGGTCCTATGTTATTATGAATCACAATTAAATCCGAAGTTATTATTCTATTATTTATCATCTATTGTAACTTTGTGATTTTTTTCTTACCACATATTTACCTTTAGAAAATTCATCCAAATAACACTAGGAAGCACTCTATTGTTATTTATTTAATTAATTAAATTCTGATATGATTTTCTTTTCTACCCTAGTGAAGTACTAAAAATATTACAATGCTAAAAGAATCATGCCATGTTTTTCCAAAATCTCATAAGTTATTTTAAGTTTATATAGATACAAATTGCAAGTTTTGATTTTCTCTTTGACCAAAGCCCTACAAGTCTTAAACAAGATTTTGAAGCCTAAATTGCCTTCATGGTACCATAAACTTCTTGAGAAAAAATACACAACATACTTTCTTTCCACAAATTAATCATTAAAGAATAAAAAAAAATCATAACTTATATTTGATTCTTAATTATAACTCGAATTTTTAATTATTATTAAATCATGTAAAGTGTCTCAATTTACATACTATAAAAATACATATTATTTAAAATATTAAATATAAAACATAGGTATAGTGATTTTTATCATTTAATAATAAACTCAAAGTATAATTTAAAATACAATCATTAAAGTGATTGTTACTATGTATTTATTCTTATTATCAAAAAATGGTTATAAACTATTTTTCATTGATTAATTTTAATTAAAGTAATATTCTTTATATTTTTAATAATAAAATATAAATAAGAATAAATCAATTTATTGTAATAATTTTAAATTAAACATTTTTTCTTTTACTAAAACCAATAAAAAAGACCATAGAACCAAATTTTGGATCTTAAAAAAAAAACATGCAAATTTAATTGTTTGACATATAAAAATAAAATAAAATAATATATATATATATATGCATGTATTTTTTTTTTATAAAAAAAACCCTCTAGATTCATTTATCAACTATTAGATCCAAAAGAAATGAAAATCAACCACATTCATCATGATTATCATATTCTTCATCATGGGTAGGTCAATTAAGTAAAAACCTAGATCTATTTAACATTCTTTATTATATATATATACAACAATGCATAATAGATTTTGTCACTTTGCACAAGCAAGTTTACTTTTTGAGCTACAAGCATAAGTTTATGGATTTTCAATCCATGGCATTATAAGACCATTTGGAAGCTACTTTTTCAACAAGATCAATTTATAGGATGTCACTTAAATATATAAATTGTCTATACTTTGCAAATATGAAGCAAGCAAGAAAGTCCATAAACATCATGTAAAGTCCATTTATTCTCCAAGTCAAAATGGTGGTCTCAAACACAACTAGAGCACATCCACGATTATCCTCATCCACGTAATTTGGATGAATCCCCGGTGCCAAAGCCTCGCCCGTGATCAGGTGACGTCACCGGGCATCAGGCTTGTTTTTTTAAGGATTAGGGTTTATCCGTCCAATGATTACGCGAATGATTTATCGTTGGTTCGATAAGACTTATGGATGAATTATTAACTAATACATCCATCTATGACCATCCTGGTTGACCGAAACGTAGCTTTTTTACGGGCAGTATGAAGAAAAACACTAGAACTAGCGAAGGGAACGAGGGGAACGGAGGGAGAACCCGCGGGAAGAGGAGGCACGGTGGAGGGGGCCAGAAGAGGGGAAAGGGGGAGGGGAGGGGAGTAGCACATGGGCAGGTAGGAATGCAGGCATCGTAACGGAGGAGCTCTTGCGGTGGAATCACGGAGCGCGCGGAGTGTTTTGCTGCTGCTGCTGCTGCCGCTGCTGCCGCTGCTGCCGCTGCTGCCGCACACGCGCAGCCTAATCTCCGTAGCCGTGCCTTGCCTCCTCTTTCCTCTTTCCCGCCTCCTCTTGTGCGCCGTTCCTCTTCCTCTCTCTATGACTCTTAGCGTTTTCTAATTTTTCCAATTTTTCTTCTTCTTATTATTTTTTCTGCTTCGGGAGCTGCTTCTCCGTTTTCTTCTTTGTGAAGACGCTTTGTCACGTGTGTTGCGTGTCATAGGGAGTGATGTAGTGGTAAGATTCATTGCCAAGTTGTGGTTGATTTTGGTGTGGTCTTGTTTCCGGAAATAAATAATTTGTAACACTTGTATTCATTGTGTCTTTCCTGTTTGTCGGTGTTGGTTTGGTAGTGTTAGGGTTTTCCAGTGTTGGAGGGTATCGCTTTTGCACATGGTTTTCGGTCTGAATTGGTGTTTTGGTCGGAATACTCGGCAAAAGGAGCAGGGCGAGGTATTAGGCAGGAGATGTCTTCGGCTTTTGCTTGTTAGGGACATTTCTTAATCCTTTTCGTTGACGTTTCAGTGCGTGTTTCTCATGAAGGTTTTGACTTTGGTATGGTGGATTTTTGAACTCGGACATCACCTTCCCTTGGCACTTTCTGTTTTCAATTTCGCGATATGCGTTTCGAATAGTTAAATTTGCCCGACTGTCGTCAAATCTTTAAGTACGAATGAATCTATATCTACCGAATTAACAACTACTGCAGAAGCTTCAAGCGACACGCACACAATGTGGCTGTTTTAAGCAGCTGCTCTTTTCCTATCGAGGAAATGCCAACAAATACTCCACAAGTGCAGCGCACTAGAACACGCGCATACGGTCTCTGGGAACCGAATCTCAGCATTGGACTTGCTTTGAAGAGAAAGTCTTTTTGAGTTTTAAAATACGTGGATTTGTTCCACCTTACTCAGTCCAGACCATCGACTGTATACTACACGCCAGTTCAAAACCAGGACGTCAATTAAGAGAAATATCTCTGTTGCAGACTTTTGGTGTTCTTTACCAAAGGTTCACTGTTTACGGAATAATTACAATAGTGTCAAATGTGGTTTGTTCAGGTGGAGATGCTGTTCCCCGGGTGGCCTCGTAGCAACTAGTTCTACAAAAAGGTCGTTCGTTATTGGGAGGATTTTGGAATGGTTCTGGGAGGATCTGTGTGGATTTTGTTCGAAGACAGTATAGCTTTTGACTATAATATCTGAGTTCTCTCAGCATTGAAGAGAGGTTTAGGGTAACGTCGGCAAAGGGCAGCACAGGTAGTCATGGAGGGTTCTGCAGAAGAATGAATGTTGCAATCAACCACTGGGATCTCTCCACAGGATGGGGAGCTCGTAGCTATGGGGGGACCATGTCGGACCGTGGTTGGCAAGGGGGCTGGCCACAACACCAGCATCAAGGATCTCCCCCCTGTTGATGAACGAGCAGCTACGAAAAGCCTGACTCTTTATCGCAAACCTGTGGAGCTGTACAGCCTTATTCGCTCTCGCCTTGAAAAGCGGGTATTAAATTTAATTTCACGTTTTTCTTGGCATCATGAGCCGCCAGTTCTCGTATTCTTTCGGATAATCAAAAGCTACTACTCTTTAACGCATGCTTATTATCTAGAAGATGCACTACTACTACCACTACTATTTCTGCTCGGGATTCTAATGTCTTGACCGCAGCGTAATCTTCCCGATTGTAGGCACGAATCCAAGAGTAGAGAGTTTAGTCCACGTGGTTCCTTCTTGCACGGTTTAATTGGTGGAGTCGCAGCCCGAGCTTAACGATTGCTGTTTATTTCCTGCAGCCTGTCTTTCTCCAAAGAAACCTAAATTACAAAATCCAAGCGCTGCGGCAGAGGCGGTGAGTGTGAGTTTTCATATCAGTCTAGTAAACGCATCTGCAGTGAACCATCTGCACAGAGTGTGAACATAGAGGCTGGCTAGGTTGGTGTAGCTCACTAATTGCTTCATGATGTCAGCTAATACAGAGTCTCTCTCTCTCTCTCTCTTTTTTTTTTTTTTTTTTTTTTGTTTTTGTTTTTGTTTTTGTATTGATTTGCTTATTCCACCAGTTTCTCTGTTTATTCATTCCTGCTCTGAAGAGAATTCTGGTCCTTGACAGGTTGGAGGTAACGATCAAGCTGAAGGGATTAGTCAACGCACCCTCCCTATCTCAATGGTACAGTCGAAGGGGACAGTTGGAACCTGGTCCGAGTACCGCAGCTACGCACCAGTATTTGCCTATATTTGTGATGGTTTCCAGCCAGCCAAATCCTCAAAAAGAGGTAACTAGTTCTCAGTCCGATTTGACTTCAGCTGTGTGTCGAAGCAGATAACGATCATGTTGTTTTGGTGCTTTTCGTATTTCGACAATGTTTTCGTTTTTGTTGTGCAGATTAATTCAAAATATATTTAAAAACACATCTTTTACTTTGTTTTGTTTTGGAATGTAAGTGTATATAGTTGATTTTGTAGTTCCCGATTCTAAATTTGCAATGTTCATCAGGCTACTGCTCAGATTGCTTGCTTCGTCTTCCAAACTGCCATGTTGCAATTTTAGTTACAGGAGTTGCGTGGTAATCTTCATTTATTTATTCATGGTTGATCGATGTAGATTTTCTTATTGGGCAAAGAAAAAGATATTAAGGTGGTCAAAATACCGCTGCTGGATGATGGTGCTTCAAGTGCTCCAGTGACATTTTTGATACCAGAGCTAACGAAGCTTTTTGAGCTTGCCAAGAATGGGCACCTCATTCTTTTTTTTGCATTCAGTACGTCAAACTTCACACCATTTTTCATCTTATAAACGTTTTGCCGTGGCAAGTGATCTTTCCTCGGGGAAAAGCGGGCTAATGTTAGTATTGTTCAAACGTTCTAGTTCTTAAAGATTAGTTAAGGTTCGCTGATGCGAACTCGCAGTGTTTTAATGCGCTGCACGAACTGGGATTAGTACGCGAGTTTAGCAGGGTATGAAGTAAAAATATCATATTTTGAATATAATCAGTGAGTTGTGAGCATTTGACATTGTTGCTTGTTGGTTCCGTGTGCGACTGCAGCTGATCCAGCAGAACTTTTCAATGTTGACACGTGGCAGATGCGAGATCTAGGTGAATATAGAACTACCTTGTGAACGCTGGTTTAGCGTTGGTACTTGTCTTTATTGTTTTCGCTAAGAATAATTTTAACCTCTTGGTTTAATAGTTACCTTTTTTGTGATGAAGCCTTTTCCCATGACTTGAATGTACAGCTAACCCTGTTGTTCACAATGTGATGCTCTTCTTGTCATTCATGCCTTGGAACGTGGGAAAGAAACTACACTCGGCAATGATTCTTCTCTTTGGCTGTTCAGATGATTGTAGTGGCGGTGTGGTTTGGAGTAAGCTGAGCATGGCATCGCTCTGCCATCAATGGTTAAAGAATCTCAACGGAAATGTATCGCCACTAGGCCTTAATGGTGTATCTGTTGAGACATCGTGCAGTCTAGACTTTGCGCATGGCAAGCTGCAGGTACAGGCACATGATGAAAAAGAAGTCGTTAAACCGCGTTCTTCTTGCTTCAACTGTTTTTCTATTTCACCAGATTTTATTATACATTAAATGAATGCCCCTTTTTGTCCGTAAATAAGTTGGTTATTGCAGCAATACATATATCGTTACTGTGGTCACAAATTTTCATCTTCATTTTAGTTGATAGTTTGACTTTTGGGTGTTTGTGAACACAATTTCCGATCTTCTGTGCTTTGTTATCGTATTTTCTGCGTTTATGATGTGTCTGTAATAGTGAATCACATTCTCTTCGAGTACGGACATGCTCTGCTGAATCAGTTTAACTAGTTCTTTGGGCACATTCTCAAATTGAATGGTCCCTGTATGTGACGCAAGTTCTTTTTTCTTTTGTTGATAGTGTGATGGAGCAGAATGGGATAGGTGACAATTAACGTAATGCATTTACTTCCAGAGTTTTTAACAATATCTATTCTTTTGAGATGCAGCATCGTGACACGGCCCTTGGTCCCATGGTCTATATACAGCCTTTCAGGGAGCTTTCATCAAACAGTGAGGTATGGAGAATTTTCGGCTTATTTTGAAGCTTCTAGTATTTTTTTGGCAAGAGAGACATAGTAACCATAATCTATTGCTAGGGGTATCGATTCCGTCGCGACATGTTTGATCAAACAGTAGGAAAACTATTCACCGGAGAAGTACTGGTATTGTCCCCATCATACTTCAAGTATCTCTGTGGTCCAGTTTAAGATCTTAATTTGTTGCCCGGTTACACAGATGAAGCTGCAAGTGCACGCTTGCGCTGTTGAAATCGGAAATGCACATACAAATCATTGTACATCAAACGGAACTCCTCACAAACGTACTTCTTCCTTGCCCTCTCAGGCATTTAGGTATTAATTGTCTTGCTATGCCCTTCATCTTCTTCGGTTTGGTCATCCCCTCCTTTGTAGCGAATGTTTCTGCATGAACTTAGTTGTAATTTTGTTAGTTTGTTTTGTTTTTCTGCCTGAGATGCCAATTGGATGTATTTTTCTGCTGAAAATTGATGCCATTAGTAAGTGCAGTTTGGCGATGTAGATATTGTGGCTTGTTTGAGATGTAAGTGAAGGAGTCTGATGTATATCAAACATTTTTTAACAGGAATCCCTTAGGTCTTGTAGAATTTCACTATCTTTATTATTTCAACCGCCGTGAAAAAACAGAAGGTGAGTCTCTGCCTTTGTCTCGAGTTTTTTATATTGAGTCTTTATGCTACTTATGTTGGATATTAGTGAGTCGTAGATTTTGAAATTTCATTTAATATTTCTGAAGGGCATTTAGGGTTTATAGATTACCATTATAATTCTTACTCATTTGTTAAGTTGAGGTTTTTAAGGCAGTATTTCCACGATATAGGATCTCGAGAAGCAAGCGACTACAGGGTTCTATTTTTGTATGTGTATGTGACAAGTTTATTGAATTATTTTGCAGTGATGGTGGAGTTTTCATGCCCATTTTGTTTAGTACGATGCTATACCTTTAAGGTGGATTTTCCTCCCTTCACGTTTCGTTCGAACAGACATAAACCTATCATAAGATGTTCAGAGTGAATCATTTTGTATATACTGTTGTTTAGCAAATGTTACACTTTTCTACAAGAATGAATTCTGGCATTGTCAACCACAGAATGCTCTTTTGCTTGTTTGTTTCAGTCCTAGGCAGTTCATAGACTCGATTCTGATGTGTTTGAAGTTTAGGGATTTTATCCCCTTTGATTTCTTAGGGTATTGTAAATTTTAAAGAATTTTAGCGAGTTCCTGCCGAATTTTCCTAACTTTTTAATATGGTTTATAACTTAGGGTATATAATCTGCTAGCTCAGATAATATAGATGAGTTGATTTTTCTGTTTCTATTTTTGTTCCACGTCCTTACATTCTTATTCAACTATTGTGCAGGGGCTGCGTTGTCATTTGAATTGTTCTCATGATTTATTCAATTTTGAATATCTGGTAATGATTCTTCAGTGGTCTTATCCTCTGCACTTTTTTGACATTAGATTTCAGCATGAATAGCAGCTTGGGTTTGTCCTATTGATTTTGGTCGTGTTCTCTTTTGATTTTATCTGAAGTTGTTTTTGTGTGGTTTTCAATAAGATAAGAAGGATAAGAAAGCTGACCTTTATGGTAGGCAGTGTAGCATTATTGTTTCAGTTCAGAGAACGTTCAGTATCTTACTGAGAATCTTTCATCTTAAATTGAGAGGGTTTTAACGACTTCTTTCTTTTTTTGGCAGCCAAATGTAGACGTACCAACTGTAAATGTTACCTGTCGGACAGACTTGCTAGGGCCTGAGGTTAGGCTCCGAATGCCCGATTTCTGATAATAAATTTTATACACGTGTTTTCATAAGGAATTCGACTTTTGCAGACTGTACCAAAACTAAGTTAAATGTGCGATCTTTGAACTTGAACTATGTACAATGTGAACAGTTCATTCTTTGCGTATCATCTATTATCCAAACCTAGGAGATCCAAGTTTGTTGAGGTCAGATTTGGCTAATATTCTGTGTTTATAAGCAGGGCAATATTCAAGAGTTAGAACCAGATTTAAGGACAAGAAATTGGATGTTTTGGTGAGCTCTCCAATTGCTTCTGAATGTGTTAGAACATGCCTTTAAGCACCTGGTCGAAGAGGGAACATGTGAATGGTAAAGTATGATTAGGAACATATGATTGGAAGTTGTATTGCATATTATAGTACACTTTTTGGACGTCTCTGTTCATTGTGTTAAAGTTCTGTTGATACTCAAGAATTTTCTTCCTATTCGTAACGAACAACAAGGACTTTTTCCGATGGCAACATGAAATGTACGCTTTTAATTGAAACGCCAAATTTATCATACAGGTCACGTAGGCCCTTTTCAAAGATCTATGGCAGCATTCCTAAAGTCCACCTTTTACGTGGGGAAGGGGGTTATCTCCCTGGTCCCATCAGTCAGGACCACTCTCATGGAGTGAACAGTACTAGTCCCGCAAAGTCAAGTGATGACAATTCACCTGCGTTTCAAAAACAAATTATGAAAGGGGAAAGAAGGGATGATTCCTTGATGTATGGAGATGCACCTGGTCCTTCACCCTTAAAGCGACAGAGGCTTGAAGGCCGTGATTCTGCTGAGGAGGAAGATTTTAGAACTGGAGTGTGTGCAGCAGCATCTGCAGCCACTCCTGACGATACTGGTGCACCACTCATGACTGCTACTTCTATTCGAATTCGTCCTGAGAGGAATCGACAGTTGGCTGCGGAACGTGCAGAAGCTCGCAAGTGAGTGGCGTACCTGTTTCCTGTAAAAAATGATCATTGCTGGCAATGAATTTGATTTCTTTTTGAAGAATGAATGAATATAGGTGCACAGTTTTTGTGTCCCCTTGAAATGGAGTGAATAATGTCGAATGCATGATATAAGAATTTCTATTTAAGTTTCTAAGTTATTACATCTGCTTTTGTGGGATAGTTACCTACTGCTGAAACTCACTTTCAATGAAGGTATGCACATAGCTGGTTCAAGAAATTTTGAAACAGTAACATGAATGTGGAACATGACTTAATATGCAACCGTTTCCTTACATGATTCTGTTCTTCCAGTCGGCTTCTCCTTCAAAAACGCACATTTTTTCACTCACACACTGCTCAGGTAACGTAATAGTAGTGGTTCCATTCAATGTTTCACAGCTGGTTGCCCAAGTTTTCTTATCCTGGATCTAGCAAATGTGTGCATACATGGATGTGGTTTTTGTTGATTGTTAGTGTTATGTCTTCTAGTCGTGCATTGGAGGTCTTGATATCACGAAATTTGCATATGTAGCTAAGTTAATTACTATTATGTATGTTTTCCGTGAACTGATGTGCCCATGTTGATTTGGTGCCAGCCTATGGCACTTGAGGAACTGCTCTCTGACAGAGACAGTGAAGAGGAACTTGACGAGGACGTGGCCACCATAGAAGATCGCCGGGTACATGTCTTAATTTCTCTTTTTACCTTTTCCTCTCGTTTTGTAATTTGATATTATATGAAAAATCTGTTTTCTATTTACAACTACCTTCTTCCTTTTCCATATTCGCATTGTTGCAGTCGGGAATCAAGCGAAATCGGTTAGTTTGTTGGTCTTCTTGCACAGGTTTTCAGATGTTGGATAACTTGATCCCTTCCTCTGACGAGCATTTTCGAATTTAGATAAACTGCAATGATTTTACATTCCTTAAAGACCTTTTTCAATGTGTATCCTTTTCTTTACGTATTCATGACAATTTCAAACTCCTATTTGCAATTGCAGATGCTAGAAGATTTTGTGGATGTAACTGCGGATGAGAAGGAAATCATGCATCTATGGAATTCGTTTGTGCGGAAGCAGCGGTATTGTTCTATCGTGAAGAAACTGTGTTGCAAACTTTATGTAGCTTGTGCTTAGGAATCTGATTTAGAACTTCTAGTATGCTCGATTTGATATGTGGAGCAATGGCTAATTGTGCTCGCACATGCAGAGTCCTTGCTGATGGTCATTGCGTGTGGGCATGTGAGACATTTGCAACGCTTCACGCAGCGAAGTTTTCAAGCAAACCGTCATTAAGAAGGTATGTTACCTTTCGCTTGCCCTTAAATCTATGGAACAATACTTTTACATTTGCACTTTCTTTTTGCAGATCTGGCTGCTTGATAGATTTTTAAAATTGTAGAGTGTTCTTAATTACCATACGTATATATACTTGGCGTACCATGTGTGTGTTTGTGTATTTGCAGGTGTTTCATCTTGTTTCTTATTAAGCTTTGGAACCATCATCTTGTGGATGGGGCCACAGTTGATAAATGCTTGACAATCGTGGATCGTTGCACTCAGCCAACGGAAAATTAAGATGGGCGCTTGGCATCCAAGATTACTAAAATTTGAAAATTTTTTCCTTTTTCTATGAAATTCATTGTTGTGGCCCCTGTCAGGGTCAAATTTCATTGTTGTGTGTTGGAAGTGGTCTTGTCAAGAACTTTTATTTTTACCCCGTCAATTGCGGTACTACAGGTCTAAAGAGAAGGAGCCCCTCTTTTTTTTCATTTTCAGGATCAGGGTTAGATTTAGTGCAGCCTTGTTTTGATAAGTCCATTTCGGTTGTTGACTTTGGTCTGGATCATGTCACAAGTGTCACCCAGCAGCTTTTTTGTTGGTACATGTGTGGTTAAGAAGAGCAGGCAAGCCTGCTTCATTCTTTGAAGTAGACATTCGTTACGTTCCTTTACGTGGTTCATTAATACTTGTTCAGCTCCGGCCTTCAAATTCTCTTACGTCACTTCTTCGATGGATGCTTGAGCACGGAAGCTTAAAGGAGCAACTGCGGAGAGTCAAACTCCACTTACATACCCAGCTCCATTCCATTGCAATACCTCAATCATTTCAATTTAATCGAAGGTGATATGAAGTTTTGAAAAGCCAAAGTGGCAGCTGACGCTTCAGCATCTTAGAATACTTCTTATTTCAGTTCATTGAAGTGACCAAGGGTAAACGCAAACAAACTAGACATTGAACTGAAGGTTTGCTCACTATTGCAGCGATTGGATAACCAGAGGTTATCTTCCATTTGAAAGAATTCTGTATCTTCTTTCGGCACCACTTCTTACCCATAAACTATGAGTCATATAATCAGATGAGAATGTGCCACGTAACCATTTTGAATGAAAATTGCCCCAAATCAAGTGTAGGCATCAATTTCATCTCCTTCCTGAAGCTTTCTGCCGCCTCCCATTTCATTTTTGTCGCTGCTTTCACGGATGAGCGATGTACACTGTCTTCTGAGTTTCAAGTCGATGGAGGTTCGGCAACATTTACTGGACGGAGGCTTCGGTGCGACACATCCTGTGATGTAGCCGATGTGGAACGCATTCACCATTACCCGTAAGCTCTTAAAGCTCCAATAGCAGCTGAATCAGAGTTGGACACCATTATTTAACTGTCCCAAATTACAAACTTCTTCGCGGAACTGAAATGAAGCTGCCTCTTGCTTATTCTAAGAAAATGGTAGTGATCTAGCATCATTTTCCAGATATTGTTGTTGGTGTTGATTGTACAATCACCACGAGGGCAACCCAAATTTTTCACAAATTCTATTGTCGCTGGTACAGCAGTTAGATGCATAGGTCTGAAATACCACGCTCTTGTTCTACAATATATTGATTTACTGCACAAGAATTCAAAGTAATACCGTGGATTCTACAAGATCGTAGAGATAGGAGGCTTAAGTGATTGATGCTGCCGGTCATTGCTGTGACCTGATCCTCCTGCAATAGCGCGCCTGTGGCAAGGCAAATCTCTCTCCATGCTGGGCGTCAATGCTGTGGTGATCATTTACGAGAATTCTACGAATCTACAGGGTTATTGAGCTATAATTCGCTAATGGAAAACTAGCAACAGTAGTGGCTAGTTTAACGCAAGCTGTGGAATCTACACCCTATAGACTATCATGTTGGACTTCCATCTGGAAGTAGGAAACGAATCAATCGATTTCGGACAAAAGTCAGAATGGTGCGGTGCTGTGCTGGCTGCTGCAAAATGGTGACCAGGTAAGGTCTAGCATCACCGCACGGCGACGATCGGAAGGTCAATAACTAGTTTGGTTTTATCTTCGGAGAAACTATTTTTCACTGATTGGCCTTCAGGGCGGCGAGCATCGGTGATGAGTTGCAGCCAGATTGATGGCGATCGAGGAATGAACCGATTGAAGATCACTTGGTGTGGAAGTGAGGCTGGGTAAGTCATTGAAGCGTGAAAGCCTGGATATTCTCCAGCGCGACCATTGCGCTTTCGGACGAAGGCGACTGGTTACTTAAGGAGAAGCATTGCCATTGCGGATGTTGAACCGAAGCGCCGGTGTGGCAGTCGAGAAAAGATTGAGAGAAGTCGGGAAGCCCCATTGTCGAAGGTGTTGGGAGGGAAGAGGTGATGTCAATGCCGGGGAAGGGGTTGAAGGAGTCCTGGCCCATCTGGTCCGTCTTTGGGTGGAGCTTTGGTACTCGTGAAGCTGCCGACGCTGGCTGGAAATTGAAATCGGAGAAGAAACTGAAGGAATTATCGTTGAATGAGAACGGAGATGGCTCGACCTTAACGTCGAAGATGGTGAATATCAGGTCGTGGTTGTCCAACTCCAAATTTGAGTCGAGAGGGCTCTTTGGAGAGTCCGACTGCTTCATCGCGTGCATACCTTCGCAAGCGTCAGTGGCCGAGAAGGGTGACTTTTCAAAGTTTGAGACCCGTGATCCGCACAGGGTCGTCTTTGATTCTGCAAGGATGGGAGTGAAGGATAGTCTGATTGAGTCAAGGTGCTGAAAACCTCTCGAAAATCATCCCAACACCAACAAAAATTTGGACTAGTTTTGCATGCAAGGGTTCGACAAGGAGCCAAGTTAATGGAAATGGCGGAAAGTTAGTGCCTCGAGTTCTCACCTTGCTGCACAAGGTCAGCGGCATCAACTATGGTCCGATCATCAGACCGGGCTCCTTTCTTAGCCGCTGGGTGTCGCTTCAATCGCGAGCGTGTGTCACTTGATCCAGTGAGCTTCTGCACCAGAGACATGAATTCGTCTGGCTCCGCGTAAATCACTTTCGGGGAGTATGTATGAATGATAATTGGTGGGCGATACTGCACTTGTGGGAGCGGGAAAGGGGTTTTCCGGATCCGGTGCGAGTCTTTGCCCACCTTCAGGGCTGACGTTCTCAACCTCTCCCTCTGCTTCCGGATTCCAAATTGCACGCTCGACTCCGCTGCTGATTCCATGCCACTGCCGAGCGTACTTGGTCGATCGACCAAATCGCCCTCGATCTTAGCTATTGCGTAGCGCACTGATATAGGATTCTGCATCCTCACTTCATCCACAACTTTACACTCTCAACCTCCACTCTCTGACCCAATCTCTCGTGGATGTCCGCTTCAGACACAGATTCCAGTTGCAACCATTGCACCAATCCCACTCACTCAATCCCTGCCAGCCGACAAACGTGACTGCACTCCGAACCAGTTCCTGTCGCCCTGCGATCGCCCAACCTTTACAGAAAGATAATGTTTGCAGTACTGTACTGAAAAAGTGAGTATCAAGCAGAACTGCCTGCTGCATGGACAGTCTAGATGAAGGGATGAGATTGGAAAACGTGAGAAGAGAAGACGAGTCCGGAGGCACATACACAGATAAAAGAGCTAAGAGGGGGTGGGTTGTTAGCTATTGTTTTGTCCGCCTTGGACTAGAATACAGAATATCTAAACTTTAAGGCATCCTAACGACGATTCTAAGTCGCTAAGGACACATGCAGGTCTGGAGATGATGTTCATGGAGCGTACGAGGTCTGCTAGTGTGCTTCCCTACTGGCTTGTCCAGAACTGGCCCCTCTTGGAAATAATCACCATCAGTGCCGCTGACGTCGAATTCTGAGAGATGTTTAAACGCCGGAGGATTTTGAAGTGTTGCCATTGGCCTAAGATCCCAGCGTCAATCAGTGGAATCCATAAACACCGATTTTGCACGCTGTTTTTGGAATCTTTTGGTCTCATGAAATCTATCCACTGACCTAGTGCAGTGAAGAATCGTAATAATCAAATGGAGAGAAACTCAGGAAAAAGTGAATCATGAAAGTTTTGATCCTCCCTTACTTTCAATGGGTTTGTATTACCACTTCTAAAATTAATTGTATTGGTATACAAGCTCCTAGTTTTATTGATTTTTTTGTTCAATCGCATCAGATTTTGAAAAGACCAACACAATCGTTTTTAGGAGTGCATTCGTATCCTGGAGACTATCATAGAGTGGCCCAAGGTTTTATATCTTCTATTCTTGACCATCAATTTTCCTTCGTATCCGGATAAACACGGAGGGTGGTATGGAACCGCATTGCACAATCATACGCAACTCATGCGTGATCCTCCAAGGATTGTTCAAGTAAAGAATTCACTGCAAATTTAGTAAATCAATCTGGTGAACACTTCCTTGGTTTTAACTGATTAAGAATTGAGTTACTTCATTTCAAATAGATTAATTGAGAACACTAAAAATTAAGCATCTATGAAGATCGAAATGGAACTATTTTTTTATTGTAGAAATAGTAAGATTGAAAATTAATATTTAGGGGTGGATATTTTGGGGTAGTTGTATTACCATTTCAAAAGAACTACTCAAGAAATGAAACAAAAAGAAAATGACATAAAATATGAAGTTGAAAAACATCCTAGGGTGGAAAGAGCACTCCACTAACACTCGTTTACCATCTAATTTATGTGCAATAGCAGTGTTAGTCGCTAACATATCAAGCATCCGAAAATTCCTTCCTCGCATCACACCACCGTTGTTAAATGAAGCCAAACTTGACAATGATAACAACACTATTCCACGTGGACTATAGCTATTGCCAACCAACAAGCTTGCTACGGCAAATGAGCATATTCCGCTGACCTCAGCCCCGAGCAGCGTTCGGTGATGAGGCATCAGTCGCTGCAGCACAAAGCCATGTGGAGAGAATGAGAGCAACCAGGTGTCGAGAGTTCATCGTCCATGGAGCTGCTGCTAACTTTAGGTGGCTCCCAGCCTGGCAGGTGCCCTTCTTACCTCAACTTTGGACACCGCACCCCCATCTTTCAGTTTCTTCATGCGCCTTTTGAGTCGAGGTTTATGGTGGCTTCTGCGCAGATCGACCTGCTTCAGATGCCCTGCGCGATGCAGGAACCATCCGTGGTCAACAACACTGTATTATTCCAATTATACGCATGTCTCCAACTCCTAGTTTCACAGACTGAACATGGCTTATAAGGACACAAATCTGTTTCTTCCAATAGCGGCACTGTATCGGAACTAGCCATGTGTAGGGAACCACAGCATCGCGGCATAGGCCTCGAGGCATAATCCAATTCTTCAAATAGGTCGTGATGAGAGTGGAGGTTTTTCCGAATCCACCTCGATCAAGTACAACGTTTAGACTTGTCGATGTACGCATAACTCACCGAAGACCTGGTTCATATTACCACAATTTCGAACAGCCTAGTTGAAGTCTAGATTATTGATTTCAGACTTCTGCAGATCCCATGCAGCTGATGGTCTAGCGAGGGTCCTGGTCGCGTTTTTCCACACTCCATTTCGGCAGTACGCCGCAACGCAGTGTTGAATCAGAGCTGGCGGCCGAAGATTGCACAACACTATCAACACCAAAGGGCTGCAACGTGTCGGTAGCGGTCATCCCCAGCTTAAGAATGTCACACTTGGCAACTTGTTATTCTTCACGTAGAATTGGCCCAGTTCGCATCCATTCACCGACACTTGTCGGTGGAGTCTGACCCTGCTCTAGGTTTCAGAAACACACATCACTTGTTACTACCTTTCCTTGGTATTTGCTCCCATCACTTGGTTACTAACTTGTGCATCCCATACACACTTTTTCTATACTTTTGTTGGGCAACTTCATGTGTAGCCAGGTCCTAACACATTAGTACTCTTGTGTAGCCAAGTCCTTTGTCTTGCGTGGCTTGGTTTCTAAGATATTAGTTATTAAATGTATATAATTTTTTTTATCTATAATTAAAAGAGGCTTGCTTAAGTATTTAGTGCTACCATCAAACTTTTACTTTTAGACATTCATTGAGGAGCTTGGTCCTTATGTCTTATTATAATCCTTAATTTTAAAAGGAATTTTAGTAGAAACAACTCTATAATAGAGACTGTTATGATAGTTTGTAAGATTTTTTTAATAGAATCAAAACTTTTATTAATTTGATTAGTATCAAATTTTAAATTTAGTAATGTGTATTTTTATAAAGAAGTATATATAGATTTTACATCTAATATGACTGAAAGAAGATCAGACTATTTCAAAAACCCAAGATCCTTCTATTCTACAATAGCATAAAACTTCATCACAAAATATGACAAAATAGACTAGAATAGAATTGAGCAAAAAGATGCAAAATCAAACTTTAGTAAGAGAAAGGATCTGAAGCCATACTTGACCAGATGCCCCAAAAGGCCATGGCCAGTCCTATTTATACCTTGTCCTACCACCCTAGACTTTTTAGAATATTCATAAGTAGTAGACTCCACCTAGATAACCGTCCTAAGCTTTTTTTTAGAAGGTTCCATAGTAGACTCCATTTAAATAACTATCCTAAATTCTTTTTAGAATATTCTATAATAGATCCTATCTGGTCTACTAACCTAAACCTAATTCTAGAAATTTCCATGGTTCTAACTATCTATATAATTATCTTATCTATACTATGTTACAGTTAATCCCTCTCCACTAATACAAAACGTCTTTGTTTCGCTTCCGATGGTATCTCGAAATTATTTTTTGGTAATGGATGAAATTTTGTGTATGTTTTCCTATTGTATCGTGAATGGGATAACCTTTCCAAAGAACTTTGTACTGAAGTTCTGGACGTCTGCTGCCATAATGAAAGTAGTGATGCTTTAAAATGCTATCCACTTCATATTCTTATTACTCATCAACTACAACTGGTGGTGGTGGTGGTGGTTGGTGTCGATCCAAAAAGTACTTTGGCTCTATATGAAATTCTTTTAGTTGCAAAATATAGAAGATTGGATAGACTTGAATATGTAGCAAAAGCTTGAGGCGATATGCAACATCAGATATCATTGTAGAAATGCAGAAAGATGTAAGCCACCGAGGTGCTAGTTTACAGATTTGGATTGATGTAGTAAGTGGCAAGTTGGCAATAGAGAGTAACACATGATCACCATCCTGGAAGGTCTTGTATTGCTGATGGTTATTTGCATATTGCTTCTATCGATTCTAAGTAGTAAAGTAACAATGTCATACCTATTGTAAGGCCGTTATAAATTGTTATATAAATTCCTCTATTATTAGGTTATTGATGTAGATGGAACAATAGAGAGTTATTGGTATAATTGAATATTGATTGATATTCAAAAAAAATGGTGGCTGATCGATACTTGCTTGAATACTATCATTGTAAGTAAACTCTAAGAGTATCAAGTATTCATTCCAATCATTATGATGAACCACCACAAATGCCCATAGTATATCCTCCAAGGTTTGATTTGCATACTCTATTTGTCCATCTATTTGAGAATCGAAGGTTGTAGACATGACAAGTCATGTATCTAGTAGCTTAAATAAGGCTTACCAAAAACCTCCTTGGAAGCATGGATCCCAATTTGAAATGATGATATGAGATAATCCATAGTGATGAAAGACGGTATCAAAAAAGACTCATAGAAGCATTGGAGCATCAACATTCAAGTGCATTGCAGCTAAGTGAAGTTGCTTCAAGAATTGATCCATAAATATGGTAATTGCAATATAATTATGAGGCGTCTATGGCAAATATGTAATGAGATCCATAGTCATCTACTCCTAACATGTTGTAGGTAGCAAAATTGGCTGCAATAGTCTAAAAGATGCTATGTTGTATACTTTGTTATATTGACATGATTCGTAAGAGCGTACAAAGGCTCCAACATTATGATCCAAACCTCTTCAAAACCATATCCTTGAGATCCATTCTATGGTATTTTTTTTGTCCTAGATGTCTAGATATTGGAATGTTATGTTTGTCTTGAAATATGTGCATTTAGAATTTAGCATTGTGGGGTATATAAACTCACTTCTTGAAATAGAGCAAGCCATTAGTAAGACTATAATCTTGATATTGTATATCATCCATCTTCAACCAATTGCTAATCATCTTGAAATAAGCATCTCTTTGCATAGCTTCCTTTTATTTTGTCTCTTTAGTTAGATCTGAAATGATATTACTAATGATAGTGATTTTTGCCTTGTCCTTTGATTCATCCTTGAAGTCTAGTCTTTGTGATAAATTATTTAGCATAATATATTGTTGTCCTTGCTTGTACTCAAGCTGGATATCAAAAAGCTGCAATTATTCTTTTTGATAATAATGCTGCAATTTCATATTTTTCAAATGTAAATCATGTAGCAAGGATCGATGGTTACTCCAAAAAAAAAATTGGCTTTTCCAATAAATAGTATTGCAACACCTTTGTAGCATGTACAATCGCTAATTGCTCTCAATCACATATAGAGTAATTGCGCTCTATTCTTCTAAGCTTGTATGATTTATATACCATAAGTTGAAGGCCCTTACTAAAGCCTTCTTGAAAGACTGCTCTAATAGCAAAGTTGGAAGCATCAATGTCAAGTATACAAGCGAGATTAGGATCATATGATTGCAATATTACTGCAATAATGGATGCCTCTTTTAACTTATCTAAGGTATTTTGCTACTTCGATTTCCATTCAA